GAGTTATTGTTTTTCCTGGCCCCTTAATTAAGTTTTCTAGATTCCTGCTATGAGTGAGACCACCCGGTATTTTTCTTTTTCTTTCTGGCTTATTTCGCTGAGCATGATCCCTTCCAGCGCCATCCATGTTGCTGCAAATTGCCTGAGTTTATCTTTTTTGATTGCTGAGTAATATTCCATGGTGTATATGTACCACATCTTCTTGATCCAGCCATCTATTTTTGGGCATTTGGGTTGTTTCCAAAGCTTAGCTATTGTAAACAGTGCTGCTATAAACATAGGGTGCAGGTGCCCTTTGGAATTGATGTTTCTGTGTCCTTTGGGTAAATACCTAGGAGTGGAATTGCTGGATCATATGGAAGCTCTATGTTTAGTAGGTCCAGAAATCTCCACGCAGCTCTCCATAGTGGTTGGACCAGTTTGCACTCCCACCAACAGTGCAGGAGAGTTCCTTTTTCCCCATAACCTCGCCAACATTTGTTGTTGCTAGTTTTTTTAATATGTGCCATTCTCACTGGTGTAAGATGGTATCTCATGGTAGTTTTGATTTGCATTTCCCTGATTACAAGTGATGTTGAACATTATTTCATCTGCCTGTTGGCCATTTGCATTTCCTCTTCAGAGAAGTTTCTTTTTAGCTCTTCTGCCCATTTTTTGACGGGATTATTTTCTTTGTTGTTGTTGAGTCTCATCAGCTCTTTGCAGATTTTTGTGATCAGTCCTTTATCATTAGTGTTGTGTGCAAAAATGTTCTCCCAGTCAGTGGGGTTTCTCTTTGTTTTTGTTATTGTCTCTTTTGCTGTGCAGAAGTCTTTAATTTGATGTAGTCCCAGCTGTTTATCTTTGCCTTCACTATCACTGCTTTTTTAAAGATGTCTTTGATGTGCATATCATGTAGTGTTTTGCCCATATTTCCTTCTATGTATTTTATGGTTTCAGGTCTTATGTCTAGTTCTTTAATCCATTTTGAGTTGGTTTTTGTGCATGGTGTGAGGTAGTAGTCAAGCTTCATTCTTCTGTATATAGCAACCCAGTTTTCCCAGCAACATTTATTGATCTTTGCTCCAATGCATATTCTTTGCTCCATTGACCATAAATCTGTGGGTTTATTTCTGGATTTTCTATTCGATTCCATTGGTCTGTGTGTGTGTTCTTGTTCCAATACCATGCAGTTTTGATGATTATGGCTTTGTAGTATAGTTTGAAGTCTGGGAGTGTGATGCCTCCATTCCCTCCTTTTTTTTTTTTTTTCCAGGAGAGCTTTGGCTATCGGGATTTTTGGTGATTCCATATGAATTTCATCAATAATTGTTCTATTTCTTTGAAGAATGTCATTGCAATTTTTATTAGAATAGCTTTGAATCTGTATGTTGCTTTTGGTAGCATGGCCATTTTAATAATGTTTATTCTTCCAATCCATGAGCAGGGGATGTCTTTCCATTTCTTTGTGTCTTCTTCTATTTCTTTTAACAGTGTTTTATAGTTGTCTTTGTATAGGTCCTTTACCTCTTTTGTTAGATTTATTCCCAAGTATTTGATTTTTTTTGTTTCGATAATAAAAGAGATGATTTTTTTGATTTCTTCTTCAGATTTATTGTTTGTGTATAGAAAGGCTACTGACTTTTGCGTGTTGATTTTGTATCCTGCCGTTTTACTGAACTGATTGATTAGTTGAATTAGTTTTTCTGTGGAGTTTTTAGGGTTCTCTTTGTATATTATTATATCATCTACAAAGAGTGATAGTTTGACTTCTTCTTTTTCTATTTGGATTCCTTGTATGTCTTTCTCTTGTCTTATTGCTCTGGCTAGGACTTCCAGTGTTTTATTGAACAGCAGTGGTGAGAGTGGACATCCTTGTCTTGTTTCAAATCTTAATGGAAATGCTTTCAGCTTTTCACCATTGAGAATGATACTGGCTGTTGGCTTGTCATATATGGCCTTTATGATGTTGAGGTATGTTCCTTGTATCCCAAGAATTTCAAGGTTTGCCCATTTTTATTGGATTATTTGCTTTTTTTCCCTATAAAAAGTGGAGTTGTTTGAGTTGTTTGTTAATTATTTTGGATGTTAATCCCTTATCAGATAGACGGTTTGCACATGTTTTCTCCTGTTGTGTAGATTGCTTTCCTTTAGTTGATTGTCTTTTTTGTAATGAGAAGCTTTTTAGTTTGATATGGTCACATTTATTTTTGCTTTAGTGCCATAGCCAAAATAATCACTGACAAGACTAACATCAAGGACCTTTGCCCCTGTGTTTTCTTTTAGGTGCTTGTAGCTTAAGATCTTATATTTAGGGCCTCCCTGGTGGCACAGCGGTTGAGCACTGGGTTGCGAAGCTGCCCAGAGCCTCTGCAGCGCCGGTTCGATCCCCGGCTGCTCCCCCGCCTCCGGAGGAGGGTCCCACATGGCGCGCAGACCTCTCCTTCCACCTGCTGCTCACCTCAGCATTGTACTTTGGTCTTTCTGCCTGCTCTGCTCCCCCGCTCTGGTGAATTCTCTCACCCTCCCTTGCTTCTGACTGTACCCAGTACTTGTATAAATAAAGAAATAAATCTTTAAAAAAAATCTTATATTTAATTTCTTAATTCATTTCTGAGTTTATTTTGTGAGTGATGTAAAGATAAGGTTTTGACTTTTTCTTTTGCACGTGACTATCCAATTTTCCCCACAACATTTTGATTTAAGAGACTGTTTTTTACCCTTTGAGTATTATTAACTCCCTGTGCAAATATTGACTGTACAATCATGGGTTTACTTCTAGACTTTTAATTTTGTTCAGTTGTTTTTTTGTCTTTTTTAGTGCTAATATCATACTATTATGCTTATAGAGCTTTGTAATACATTTAGAGATCAGGAACTGTGGTATCTCCAAGTTTGCTCTTTCTCAGAATTGATTTGGCTCTTTGGAGTCTTTTATGTTTCATACAAATTTTAGAATTGTTTTGTCTATTTCTATAAAAAATGCCATTGGAATTAGCTCAGGTGTTGTATTAGACCTGTAGAAACTTTGGTACATTATAATGGTAATTGTTTTACTTTTCTTTGTATCTATACTTTTACTGAGTTCATTGATTAATTCTACCAGGTTTTTTTTTGTAAAGTCTTTAGGCTTTTCTCTATATAAGACCAGCTCACTTGCAAAAAGACAGTCTTACTTTTTCTTTCTGATATGGATGCCTTTTATTTATTTTTCTTGTCTAATTGCTGAGACTAGGATTTCTAATACTGTGGTAATAGAAGTGGGAGAGTGGGCATCCTTGTTTGTAATCTCAAGAGGAAAAGTATTCAGAATTTTTTCATTATGATATTAGCTATTGGCTTGTCATATAGGCCCTTCTTATGAATGTGTATTTCTATACCAAATTTGTTGAGAGTTATCATTAGATGATATGCAATTTTTGTCAGGTTTATTTTCTATGTTTTGTGAGGTGCTCATAAGATTTTTGTTAAATTATATTTATTGCTTTACATATGGTAGGACCATATGAAATTTTACATATGAAGTTTATCTTAGTTTTCACTCGATCATTATGAATAACCACTTACTGTGCTGTTGAATTAGGTTTGCTAGTATTTTGAGAATATTTGCATTCATATTTGTCAGGTATATTGGTCTATAGTTTTATTTCTGTTGTGTCTTTATCTGGCTTTGTTATCAGCATAATGCTTGCCTCATAAAATGAGTTTGAGTATATTCCCTCCTCTTTAATTGGAAGAGGTTAAGAAAGATTGATGTTCATGCTTCTTCAAATGATTGGTAAAATTCACCAGTGAAACCAGCAGGTACTGACTTTTTGTTGGCTGTTAGGAAGTTTTTACTTACTGATATAATATCTAATTATTTGATGTTTATATTTTCTATTTTTTCATTATTCATATTAGTAGTTTTGTGTTTTTTTTGGAAATTTGTCCATTTCATGTAGGTTTTCCAATTTGAGTGTCCTTGTTTATAGTAGTCTTTTGTGATCCTTTTTGTTTGTGTAATATTAGACATGTCTCCTTTATTACTGATTTTGCTTAATCCCTCCCTTTTTAAAAAGTCTGGCTAGAGGTTTGTCAATTTTATTTTATCAAGTAGCAATCTCTTAGTTTTGTTGATCTTTTCGGACCTTAAATTTCATTTGTTTCTGCTGTGATCTTTTTCTGTCTTTCCTTTTGGTAACTGCATTGTTTGGTCTTTGCATTGTTTGGTCTTCTCTTTATAGTTCCTTAAAGTTTAAGGTTAGGTTGTTTATTTGAGATCTTTATTTTTATAACTTCCCTCTTAGCATTGCATTTACAGCAGTCTGTGCATTCTGTATGTTGTGTTTCCCTTTTCGGTGGGGTTTCTCTTTGTTATGGTTATTGTCTCTTTTGCTGTACAGAAGCTCTTTAATCTGATGTAGTCCCAGCTGTTTACTTCACTATCACTGCTTTGGGTGATGTATCTGTAAAGATGTCTTTGAGGTGCATGTCATGTAATGTTTCGCCTAGTTCTTTAATCCATTTTGAGTTGGTTTTTGTGCATGGTGTGTGGTAGTAGTCAAGCTTCATTCTTTTGCATGTAACAACCCAGTTTTCCCAGCAACATTTGTTGTGAATGTTCAAAGTTTTGATTGCTCTTGCACTTTTTCAGCATACCCATTAGCCATTTATAGAAATTTGCTCTCCATGCTGTGTGGACCATGTGGAGAGTCATCCATAGAAATAGAGTATATGAGTGAAGCACATGGAGCACCGTAGTGCTCGTGGGCCAGTTTGATGTTCTGTAGGTGAGGGGTCTCTAGCAGCTTAAGGGTAGACCTTATGATGGAGTCTGTGAACTAGTTAGGAGGAGCTATATCCCTTTGATTTGTTCCATTCTGTGCCTTGTCTGTGTTTTTCATGGTCATTCATTCTCCTCAGTTGTTGTAGCTCATGTCTCAGTAGTCTGGATCAAGCGAGAGAAATAGACCTCTGGCAACAAACTGCAAAGCTAGGGAACTAAGCACTTACTTATACGCTTTCACTTTGTCTCACAGGAAAAATAACTGACCAAGAAGGTCTCGCGGCATTGGCCTGTGCCCCCATGTGTCAGGGGTGGTGTGGTAAGTTAAACATTTCCTTTTATCCTCCTCAATACATAAAATATTGGGCTATTTTGCTTTAGTGGTATAATAGAGTGTTTCTATTGTGGACTTCCTTCCACAAAATCTCTCTTGTCCTGGAAGATTACTATAATTGGTGTTCTTTGATGGATGTGGGTAGAAAACTTACAGTATGCCATTTTGATAGCATTCTCTCCTAAAGTCTTTTATCGTCCCTTGTCCATTTCATATAAGGACTGTTTTTACATGTTTATGCAATGCATAATCTTATAACAGTCTGTTTGCTGTAATAAGTGTATGTACTTATTACTGTGTTTTTAAAAACAAAACTTTAGAAATTTTTACAATCTTATAGAAAAGTGGTATTTTTATGGTAATCATTATTATTTGAAAACATGCATGTGAAAACCTATAAAAGATATAGAATAACTTGTGATTTGGGAAATTCCAATTTCGTGTTCCCAAATCACAAAGATTGATGTCTATTTGAACATGGAAATAATACTGGGTAGAAAACTTATTACCATACTGAAAATAGAAGAATAGTGATTGCATGTATTCTGAATCTGAGAGTAGAAATACCCCATCCCCACTCCCACTATCTACCTGATTTTTTTTGTAGGTTCACAAAATATAATTTCCATCTAGGAGACTGAAATATTATTCCCAGAAGTTTCTGAGTAGCACTAGTAAAAAGACATGCCATGAAGTTCTTTGTAACTCTAAAAGTCAACAAGTCCCAATCACAAATTCAGTTATAAGATTTTTAATTTCCTACTCTTTATCATAAACAAATACATAAGTATCACCAATATTTTGAGGACAGCCTCTTACATTGAAGGTGGTAAAAGAGAGAAAAGTAACTGTTCTGATTTTGCAAAGGGGAAAAACCACCTATAACCCTCTCTCCACCAGTTATTCACATATTAAGAGATTAAATGGAAATAAACACAGGATGCTATATACAAATGTAATAAAAAATAGAGTTGAATACAAGGTAATAGCAATAAATTATTTAGAGGATTGTAAGATAATGTTTAGGAATTCTTAGTATAGTAAAAATATACATAGAAAATAAAAGACAGAATACTTAGCAGACTGTTCCTTAGCAGATTATTTTAATATCTATAGATTGAGGTTCATATAAGGAAAACAGAGGGAAATGAAAGTGAGAAATAGCCAAAAAATACAGGAAATTGACCCATAATTATAGGTTAGCGTTTTCATATTAAATGTGTTTCCTAATTAATGAAAATATATACTAAGGCACACCATTAAGAAGTTTTAGAACAGTGAAGCCAATTCTAGAGTGCAGAAAACATCATGTATAAAAGGATCAGAAATCAGAGTGGCTTTAGATTTCTCTGTGAACATGAAAACAATGTAGCTATGCCTTAAACATCAGGAGGAAAATGGTCTTGAACCTGGAAACATTTATTCAGCCAAATCATGGCCATTCTGAACAAAGATGTTTTCAGACATTCAAGGACTTACAACATGTAGTTCCCCTACCCCCTTACTGAAAGTTACTGGAGGATAAGAAACAACAAATTGACAGTAAACTAAGAAAAAACTTAAGAAATGGTGTAGTGGCAGATGGGCCACTGAGCAGGTTTTCTATGATCTGAGAAGACGGGGTAAAGGAGAGTCCTGGAGCTCTCGGTGGCTTTCTCGGCTTTTATTGAGCTTTTACATGTAGTGCAGCAACCAGGTACACAGCACACAGGTGTGCTGGGGAGCCAAGAGGCTGGCAGGCCTCCAAGCCCCTGGCAAGTCTTCACTCTGGCTTCTCTCTTTCTTCTGGGGTTCTCTCCTTCTCTCTCCTGCCTCTTTTTCTCTTGGTGAATATATCAATACTGCAGTCATCGCCCCTCAGAAGTAAACAATGTTACAGTAATGTAACAGATGCAGGTGCCCACCATCAGGCATGCCATCCTAATGGTGGGAGGGCAGATAAGCCTGAAAATCATTTACACTACAAATGGGAAGACTAGGAATGAGAGATAGGAAATCCTATAAGTTGTTTCTTCTGATTCAGTCTTGGAAGTTGTTCTAAAAGCTTGTGAATTTCTATTAGGTTGCTACTTTCTCGCCATATAATTGTAATACTCTCTTATAATCCTTTATATTTATGTAGTGTTGTTTCTGATTTCTCCTCATTTGCTTCTAATCTGTGCTTTCTCTTTGTGAGTCTGTATGAAGGTTTGTCTGCTTTGTAATCCTTTGGCATTTCCAAATTTAGTCTTTTTGGGTCTTTTTTGTTATTGTTGTTTTTGATGGCCTGTTCAGAAATTTCTGCTTTAATTTTTATTTCCTTCCTGTCTTGACTTATGCTTTTGCTTTTTCTTTTCTAGTTCCTTTAGGTGTGAGCTTAGTTTTCTTATTTGTGATTCTTTTTGTTTCCAGGTATAGGCTGTATTGCCATAAACTTAATTCTTGCACTAATTTTGCTGCATCACATAGCTTTTTTAAATTTAAATATTTTTTTAAGATTTATTTATTTGTACAAGAACGGGGGTACAGGCCAGAGGCATGGGAGGGTGAGAGAATTCACCAGAGACAGAGTGGGGAGCAGAACAGGCAGATCAACCAAAATACACTGCTGAGGGGAGCAGCGGGTGAGACAGGAGAGGTCTGCTGCACCATGTGAAGATGTATCTCCCTGGCTGGCCAGGAATCAAACCCGTGCTGTAGAGGCTGCAGAGAGCTTCATAGCACTGCACTCAACCCGCTGTGTCACCAGGGATCCTGCATCACATAGCTTTGTATCTTCATTTTAATTCATTGCCAGGTTCATTTTAATTCATTTTTTTATTTCACCTTTGATTTCTTCATTTACCCTGTAGTTGCTCACAAACATGTTTATTCTTTACGTGATTTTGGTATTCCTTTCTTCTTTGGTTTACTTTCTAGTTTCATTTCATTATGATCAAAAAGATGATTGATTTGATTTCATTCTTCATAAATTTTTTGAGATTTTTATTGTGCCCCAACATATGGTCTGTTCTTGAAATTGTTACATGAGCATTTGAATTGAATGTGTATTCTCATATTTGGGATGTAGAATGTTCTGTAGTATTGGACTAAGTATATACTTAGTCCATCTTGTTCAGTTTGTCATTTAAAGTTATTATTTCCCTTTTGATTTTCTGTTTGGGTGATCTGTCCATTGCTGTCAGTGTGTTAAAGTCCGTGTCTGCCTTTGGGTTGATTAATGCTTCCATTATGTAGTTTCTAAGAGCCCAAGACAAGAAAAAATAATGAAGCTGATGAATGGGAAGAAACAGATAAACTATAAAGGAAAACCAATCAGGCTGACATCAGACTTCTCCAAAGAAACACTGCGGGCATGAAGAGAATGGAGTGAAATATTTAACAAACTCCAAGCCAACAAATGCCAACCAAGAATTCTTTACCCAGCAAATCTCTCCTTCCTCTATGAAAGAAAAATAAGGACCTTTTGATAAAAAAATAAATCTCCAGAAATTCATGACTACTAAACTTCCACTCCAAAAGATATTATAAGAAGACCTAAAGGCAAAACCAACAGAGGAGTTAATACGAATAGCAGAATAAGGTAAGGAATAGAATCACAAAAAGACAAACAGGTTGACAAATACAGACACCATCATATCAATTCTGACTCTAAATGTAAATAGACTATATTCAACAATAAAAAGACACAGAGTAGCAGGCTGGAAAAAATCAAAATCATACCTTCTGCTGTCTCCAGGAAACACATTTAACTACAAAAGGTAAATATAGACTGAAAGTAAAAGATTGGAAAACAATCTTACAAGCAAATGGACCAAAAAATAAGGCAGGAACAACTATACTTATACTGGATAAATAAGACCTCAAACTAAAAAAGATAAAAAGAGACAGATGGTCACTACATTATGACTAAGGGGACTATAGCTCAGAAAGATAACACTCATCAACAGATACTCACCAAATGAAGGAGCATCAAAATGTGTCAGACAACTATTACCATCTCTGAAAACAGACGTCAGAGAAAATACATATGTAGTAGGAGACTTGAACATCCCACTTTCTCCAAAGGACAGATCAGTGAGACAAAATATGAACAAGGACACCAGAGCCCTAAATAAGGACCTGGAACTCATGGCTTAACAGACATCTGTAGGACACTGCACCCTAAAATATCCAAGTACAATTTTTTCTCAAGTGCACATGGATCATTCTCTAGGATTGATCACATATTGGGCCACAAGACAAACATCAACAGATATATTAATATCAACATCACACCAACTATTTTCTATGATCATAAAGGAATCAAACTAGAAATAAACCCTGAAAAGAAAGCAAAGAAGCCTCCCACTTAATGAGATTGAAACCCACACTACTAGAAGACTATTGGATTAATGAGATCAGAGAAGAAATTAAAAAATACTTTGAGATGAATGACAATGAGGATTCAACTTTACAGAATGTATGGGACACAGCAAAAGCAGTAATAAGAGGAAAGTATATAGCACTATAGGCTTACATCAAGAAACAGGAAAGAAATCAAAGAAGCAACCTAATCTCCCATCTCAAAGAACTAGAAAAAGAGCAACAAAAAGCCCCAAAAGCCAGTAGAAGAAACAATAAAAACTAAAGCAGAAATAAATGAAATAAACATTAAAAAAAAAAAACAAACAGCAAAAGATTAGTGTAACCAAAAGTTGGTTCACTGAAAAAATAAACAAAGTAGACAAATCTCTAGCCATACTCACGAAGGAAAAACAGGAGAAAACAAATAAATAGGATCATAAATCAAAGAAGAGAAATTACAACAGACTCAGCAGAAATCAAAGGAATAATCAGAGGTTACTATGAACATTTATATGCAAACAAGTTCAACAATATAGAAGAGATGGACAAATTCTTAATCACCCCAAACTAGATAAAAAAGGAATAGAAGAGGGGCCTCCCTGGTGGCACGAGGGGTTAAGATGCAGCACTGTGAAGCTCTCTGCAGCCACTACAGCATA